ATCTGGCCCAGGCTAGAGCCCAACCCGGGCCGTGCTGAGAAGAAGGCCTTACCCGTTCACTGGGAGTCCAGAGAGGGCTGGAGGAGGGCTCAGGTCCCAGCAGATGGAGGCTCGGCCAGCCCCTGTCCCCGCCAGCCCCTGTCCCTGCCAGCCTCTGCCAGCAGAGCAGGCCAGCGAGTGACTGGGCAGTCCATCAGCCCCAGCTCCCCTAAGGCTCACGCCGCCCTCCTCCTGCGGGTCTGTCTTCTCCCTCCTGTGCTGCGTGCTCCCTTCCCATTGCTCCACCCTCACGCCACTCCCGCCCATCAGGCCCCACTGGCCCTCCTTCCACATCCTCGGGTGCTTTCAGGCTGCCTGTGGGCGCCCACGCCTTCTTTTCCTCAGTCACCTGGGAGTGTCATTTTTCTTTTTCTGGGAAGGGGCTGACACTTAAAGCAAGGAAAGTAACTGCTGGTATACTCCCCTGGGGGTCTAGGTTCCCCCCATTGCCCCCCGTCTGTATAGGTCGGTGAGGAAACGTGAGGCCCTGTGTGGTCAGGTGATCATTCAGACCATCCCCTGTCCTTGCACGGATTTCGGAGAGTCTGTGACTTGGCTTTGGCAAGTAGAGAGGTGGGACAGGAGAAAAGTTACAGATAGCTGCGGGCCCCAGTGACCACTGTGAGGAGATGCAGGAGACAAGAACGAACCAGGATGGGCTCTCGGGCTCAGCATCTGCGCAGACACCGGCTGTTCGTGAAGAGCTGAGCCACGTGGCTGTGTGTTCTGGAGTCCAGGGAAGGGGGCTAGAAGAGCAAGCAGGAAATGGGGCTTTAGTGGGAGAGGGGCAGTGTCTCCAGGGACACCTCCATGTGGAGGGACCCCATTGGCTGAGCTGAGAGTGGCAACAGGGCAGAGTTGCAGAGTCTTAAGGGCCAGCCTGTCTTACCTGCCACTTACCATTAAACTCTTCCTTCTAGCACTTTTGCCTGCAGGCCACAGCCCTGCCTGGGCAGAGGACGTAGGTGGACAGTTGCCACTGTCTACAGCACTGCCTTCGCACCGGGTCAGTGTGGTGTTGAGGACAAGGCATGGGACATGGAGTCCCAGTAGGGGACGTGGGCTCCATCTCCACTCCCTCCTCGCTCTGAATCTCAGTTTCTCATCTTTGCGATAGAGAGAATGATGACTACCACATAGAGTGGTGGGTGCTAGTAAAGGTCTCAGCTGACATCCTTCCTTCTTCCCCTCCCTCCTGTCTTCCCATCCATTCTACCTTTGCCAGCGCTGGTCTGAGTCCTGGGTGCATGTCAGTTTCCCACATGATGCGGTTCCTGCCCTTGAGCGAATCCCCTCACCCTCCTGGTTGCCCACCACTGAATTCGTTCTTGAAGGTGGAAGTTCCTCTTAAATGGACACTGAACCCCAGAGACAGTCTAGCCAGTCCCAGTACAGGAGGACCAGTGCCACGCTCCCACCTGGAGCGTCCACCTCCATAATGTAGCTTCAGATTACGTTCGATTTTTTAGCAGGCGTGTCAGACTCAAGCTCATATTGAGTTCGTGGTCAACTAAAACCTCCAGATCTTTTTCCCATCAATTGCCATCATGCCAAGTCCACCCCATTCTGCACTTGTGTAATTGATTTTTTTTTTAACCTAAACATAGGGCATTCCATTTATCCCTGTTGAATTCCAGCTTGTTGGTTTGAGTTCTTTATTTTGCCCGATTTAAGTCATAAGGATGTCTTCAATATCATCCTCCAAGTAGTTTTTCTTTTTAAAGAGTTATTTTTCTTTCAAATAAAGGAGAGCCATATGGCCCACCAGTGGAGACCTCCCTCCTGGTTGAAATAAATGAATGTTTGGGGTGATTGAGCCCAGTAGCCATTAACCACTTCCCTTCCTTTCGTCCAGTCCATGAAGCTAGGGAGGAGATTCTTTGTCCAGTGCCAACCATTCACTACACACACAGAGTGTCCTTGATTCATCAGTTTTCTAAATTTCAGTTTCGATTGCTGAGCAAGTTGAGTGCTTGCTGTGTAAACAGCATGGCAGGAGTATTTACAAAGGAAAATAGAGGACAGTCCTTGACCTCAGTGGGCTTATAATCTCATAAGGAGATAGACGTGGGCATCATTAACACGTAGAATGTGGTCAGTGCTATGGTCAGGGTAGAAAGCGCTGTGATGAACCAGGAAATCGGGGCAGTGTTCACGGGGGTGGCATTTTATTTTGTCATTTGTTGCAGAGTTCCTAGGCCGCAGTTCATTCTCCTGAGTGTGCACAGGCTCAGAAGCACCACCGTTTTCTTTTCTAGCGCTCACAAATAAACTGTACATAACTCCTAAAACACATCCAGAGCCTGATTCTGAATCTATCGGAGTGCTGTCTGCATAAGCTTTCTGCAAGGCGGGGTGGAATTGGTCTTGCCGCTGCCTTACCCTTTCCATGTGACTTCTCAAAGATTGTCAACAGAAATGTTAAGTTTCTATGGGTCGTCTGAGACGTCATGAAGCACTTTTGCATAGTTGCATAGAAAAATACATCATGACTTGTCCAGTGACCCAGTATCTACTTTTTTCTCTAAGGCCCTGCTGTAGGCTTGATCTGGGCCTGGGAAAGCTAGTGCACTGGAAATGGCTGGAAGTTCCTGCTGGCTGCTCCCTGAGCAGGGCACGGTGCCTTCCTCCTGCTGGCCCCATTTAGAAGACTTGTTTTCTTAGACCAGCAGGTGGTGTGGTGATTAAAGCACTAGATTCCCACATGGCCCACCACGGCTCGAGTCCTGGACTTAGTGACTTGAAAATCCCACCAAAGGCATATGCATGTGTGCCCCAAGTCCCAAGAGTAGAGTGGCAGAGAAGGAACTGCCACGTGGCCATCCCTCTGGGGAATAATTTTCCACCTTTCCTCTCTCTCCTCTCTCTCTCTCTGCCAAGTGCACATGCCCCATGGCAAAAACCTTAAAAAAAAAAAAAAAAAAGAAAGATTGCCCTCTTTGGTGGAGAAGACCAGACAAGCTTGGAGTTGAGCAGCTCGGTCTCCTCTTTTCGACATCCTCTTCCCAAAGATTGAACCGAAATTGCCTTCCTTCCTGCCCTCTCTCCAGGCCTAGCAACCAAGGTTTTCTCTGTCGTCTCAGCTTGTTCTGAGCTTTTGTCTTCCTGACAGGCTCATGCCCCTCTCATATCTATCCTTGGTTATGGCCCGCTCCTTCCATCTGTTGTGCGTCCTTTATAAGAGGGGGAAAGAACTTTTCCAGGATCCCAAGTGTAATACAGGCTCATTGTGACATATTTGGAAGAAACAGTACATTAAAAAAAAAAAAATCACCTACAGTCTCATCACCAAGAGGTAACCACTGTTCCATTTACGTATATTATTAATAGTCTTTGTGCCTATTTATTTATGTATATATATAACATATCATTAAATATTCTTTGAAAACATGATTTCTTAATGGCTGCATAATCTTCCACTGTTCGGTGTTCATGTCCTTTTAAATTCTAGGCTCATCATATTTTAAAGCTTACCCGTGTGCAACAACAGTGATTTCCTGAAATGTCCTTCTCTGGCCGCCCCTCCCCCACGCCACTCCCTTTACTTTGTCAGGTTGATTATTTGAGCTTATCGGGGCAGAATTTCATTTTTAGAGCATCCTGTCCCCATGGAATTATAGTCCCTTCTCGACTCTCTTGCCAAGGGGTCACATGCACATTCTTTTCCGTGACACGGAGCAGTGCGCTCTTAAGTCCAGCTCTGTCCCGTGCCCCCTTCCTTTGCCGCTGTCACCCCTGGACAGAACTGCTTTCTGGCCGGGTCTCTGTCGGTTCCCTTTCACCAGTTTTCCTTGCTTGGTCTGGATGAAGCAGACTGCAGTGTGGAAAGGGCTCTGGGCTAGGAATCTCCACTCTCATTCTAGTGACGACTGTGCGGCCTGGGGAACTACCTGACCTCTGAGCTGCGCGCGGTCATCTCTAAGGGGCTATCCGACGGAATGATCTCCATGACGTGCTCGGGCTGTGGAATGTGAGTGACACCGAATGCAGAGTAGCAATTTCTTCCATAGCCTCTCTTTTCCTTCTAAAAAGTAAAACGTTGAGCAAGGCAAGTGCAGAATTGGTCAGCCTCTGCTTTTGGATTTCCTTGAGACAAACTGGCCAGCGTTCGTGGCCCCCTCCTGTGTGTCCGGCCCTATGCCAGGCTCCCAACGACGAGAGCCACGGGTCCTCTGCCTCCACAGTCACAGATTAGCGGAAAAACAAACATCAAAAAGTCACTGAGTCCCCACTTAATGTATACCGAGTGTCTGCACTCTATGATGGAAACCGATTGACTAAAGGATATAGAAACACAGTAAATGGATGTAAATACCAGATATAGTGTGTGTGAAAGAGTAGGATCTGAAGAAGAACATTTAGAAAAAAATAGAGAGAGGCAAAGCATTAATGGGACAAAGCAATGTGGTATTACCTGTTGAAGATATTTCATAATTTTATCAACTGGACTAGGAAGAAAGGTTCACCTGTTGAAATACTAACTTTCTAAGCTAAATAATGTGATTGAATATATTTTTTAAAAAGTATTTTATTTTAAAGTTTTTAAAAATGTCAATAAATAAAAAAAAAAAATGCCAAAAAAAAAAAAAAAAGTCACTGAGACACAGATTCTCAGTGTGTCTCTGCCTCGAACTGGCTTCGGTAAGAAGTTGGGGCAAGTCACCTGACGTGTCACCCTTAGGGTCCCAAGTTGTGAGCTCACCTGCCTGAGGATATCACCGAAGTTTGGTTCTGGCCCCTCCATCACTTGTTAGCTCTGGAAAGTTCCTAAACCTCAGTGCTTCCATGTCCTTGTCTACAAAATGTGAATAATAATAAAAGCATCCTGCTTAAGTTCTTAAGAAAATTAAATGAGCTCATATATGTCAAATTCTTAGATGAGTTGCTGTTGGTTTTTTTAAGGATTAAATCAGTGTATGTATTGTTTTTTCCACCTTTTGAATGACTGAAACATAAACCATCTAAAACCGCAGCTTCTGAAAGAACCACTTGTTCTTGCCTATCTTGTACCTCTCTTCGAACTTGACCTTTGCCTCCTGCCGGGCCTTGTGTTTAAGAGCAGGGTCTCTGAAGACATCCTTGTTGACCACAGTTTTTTTTTTTGTTGTTTGTTTGTTTGTTTTTGAGAGGTTTTTGCTGTATGGCACATGTGCTTGCCAGAAAGACAGAGACAGATAGAGAGACAGGAAGTAAGAAATCACCCCCCAGAGGAGACAGCCATGCCTCAATCCCTTCTCTTCCATTCTCCTCTCAGGATCTTGGGCATGCATGAGCACGCACCCTGCGTGAGTTTAAGCCACCGGGTCTGGGACTCGAACCGCAGTCGACTACATGGGAGTCCAGCGACATAGCCATTACGCCATCTGCTGGTCTCTGTTGACCACGATTTTGCCCAAGGGACTATCCATAGAGTGCCTTGTGGGCATGAGGTGATTGTAATTATCAACCTTCACCAAAGACTTGATCTTTGACCTCTTGGTGATTTTCTTCTTGCCCATGGCAGCTGTCACTTTGTGGGGACAGCGGTCAGTTCCAGCCACAGGAGTGTGGCTGTAGGGGCGATCTGAGGTGCCATCATGAGTGTTCTTCACGATGACGGCTTTGAGTCCGGAGTAGCGTCCGGCCAGCACCAGCACCACTTTCCCGGGTTTCATGAACTTGCCCATTTCCACAGCAACCACCAGGACCTACCAAAAGGCCAGTGTATGTGTTTAAGCATAGTGTTTGGTACCATAACGGGGCCTGGATCCGTTATTATTATTATATTATTATTATTTCTACAATAGCAGTTCGGGTAGATGGCTATTGGAACACAGAGAAAGGGGAAATTAACGTTGCTGAGGGAGGAGCTGACAGTTCGCTTGCGTACAGCCGAGGAAACTCATCCAGAAACGCTCACGCCCACGGGACTTGTCCAAGGTCATAATGCAAATCGGAAGTGAAGCTAGGACTCCAACCCAGGAGACATCCCTCTCGGCCTGTCCCGTTAGGATTTTGCCCAGGGGAGGTTCCTCTTAGTCCACTATGCAGTTAGTGTTTCTAGGGGCAAGCATGTGTGAGTGGCACGGCGTGCCTGAGGCCAGGCCACAGGGCAGTCACCCCTGCATGAACTCACTGAGTGCACAGGACTCGCTTGGTCACGAAGAGCAGGTGGTTTGCCAGGACTAGACGGTGGGAAGAACTTCTTACCAGAGCCAACACTTTGGGCCCAATTTCCAAGGGCTTCTCATCCCTGCCTCTTGGCTTGGCTTGAAGGTTATGGCCAGGCCAGACTCACAGATTGTCCGGTTTAAGGATGGGAGACTATGGGGTGTGTCATCCCTTCTTCTGGGACAGCACTCCGATCCTGGCCCTCAGGAACCCCATCTCACACAGGGCAGCACCCCTTCCCCCGTCTCTTCCTGTTCCTATCCAGCTCGTCCTCACTCCAGCTCTCCTTTCTCCCTTCTCCCCCACCTCTCCTGGCTCCCTCCCTTCTCTCCTCTCCCTTGCATATACCTTCTCTCCCTTTTCCTCCCTCTCCTCCCTGCCCTCCCCTTCCCACTCCTCCATCCTGTTCTCCCCCATTCCTCAGCATCCCAAACCCCACCCCTTGTTTCTCCTCAGGTGGGAGGGTGGGGTGGCAGCCCAGACCGCCTCGAACTGGCTTCGGTAAGAAGTTGGGGCAAGTCACCTGACGTGTCACCCTTAGGGTCCCAAGTTGTGAGCTCACCTGCCTGAGGATATCACCGAAGTTTGGTTCTGGCCCCTCCATCACTTGTTAGCTCTGGAAAGTTCCTAAACCTCAGTGCTTCCATGTCCTTGTCTACAAAATGTGAATAATAATAAAAGCATCCTGCTTAAGTTCTTAAGAAAATTAAATGAGCTCATATATGTCAAATTCTTAGATGAGTTGCTGTTGGTTTTTTTAAGGATTAAATCAGTGTATGTATTGTTTTTTCCACCTTTTGAATGACTGAAACATAAACCATCTAAAACCGCAGCTTCTGAAAGAACCACTTGTTCTTGCCTATCTTGTACCTCTCTTCGAACTTGACCTTTGCCTCCTGCCGGGCCTTGTGTTTAAGAGCAGGGTCTCTGAAGACATCCTTGTTGACCACAGTTTTTTTTTTTGTTGTTTGTTTGTTTGTTTTTGAGAGGTTTTTGCTGTATGGCACATGTGCTTGCCAGAAAGACAGAGACAGATAGAGAGACAGGAAGTAAGAAATCACCCCCCAGAGGAGACAGCCATGCCTCAATCCCTTCTCTTCCATTCTCCTCTCAGGATCTTGGGCATGCATGAGCACGCACCCTGCGTGAGTTTAAGCCACCGGGTCTGGGACTCGAACCGCAGTCGACTACATGGGAGTCCAGCGACATAGCCATTACGCCATCTGCTGGTCTCTGTTGACCACGATTTTGCCCAAGGGACTATCCATAGAGTGCCTTGTGGGCATGAGGTGATTGTAATTATCAACCTTCACCAAAGACTTGATCTTTGACCTCTTGGTGATTTTCTTCTTGCCCATGGCAGCTGTCACTTTGTGGGGACAGCGGTCAGTTCCAGCCACAGGAGTGTGGCTGTAGGGGCGATCTGAGGTGCCCTCATGAGTGTTCTTCACGATGACGGCTTTGAGTCCGGAGTAGCGTCCGGCCAGCACCAGCACCACTTTCCCGGGTTTCATGAACTTGCCCATTTCCACAGCAACCACCAGGACCTACCAAAAGGCCAGTGTATGTGTTTAAGCATAGTGTTTGGTACCATAACGGGGCCTGGATCCGTTATTATTATTATATTATTATTATTTCTACAATAGCAGTTCGGGTAGATGGCTATTGGAACACAGAGAAAGGGGAAATTAACGTTGCTGAGGGAGGAGCTGACAGTTCGCTTGCGTACAGCCGAGGAAACTCATCCAGAAACGCTCACGCCCACGGGACTTGTCCAAGGTCATAATGCAAATCGGAAGTGAAGCTAGGACTCCAACCCAGGAGACATCCCTCTCGGCCTGTCCCGTTAGGATTTTGCCCAGGGGAGGTTCCTCTTAGTCCACTATGCAGTTAGTGTTTCTAGGGGCAAGCATGTGTGAGTGGCACGGCGTGCCTGAGGCCAGGCCACAGGGCAGTCACCCCTGCATGAACTCACTGAGTGCACAGGACTCGCTTGGTCACGAAGAGCAGGTGGTTTGCCAGGACTAGACGGTGGGAAGAACTTCTTACCAGAGCCAACACTTTGGGCCCAATTTCCAAGGGCTTCTCATCCCTGCCTCTTGGCTTGGCTTGAAGGTTATGGCCAGGCCAGACTCACAGATTGTCCGGTTTAAGGATGGGAGACTATGGGGTGTGTCATCCCTTCTTCTGGGACAGCACTCCGATCCTGGCCCTCAGGAACCCCATCTCACACAGGGCAGCACCCCTTCCCCCGTCTCTTCCTGTTCCTATCCAGCTCGTCCTCACTCCAGCTCTCCTTTCTCCCTTCTCCCCCACCTCTCCTGGCTCCCTCCCTTCTCTCCTCTCCCTTGCATATACCTTCTCTCCCTTTTCCTCCCTCTCCTCCCTGCCCTCCCCTTCCCACTCCTCCATCCTGTTCTCCCCCATTCCTCAGCATCCCAAACCCCACCCCTTGTTTCTCCTCAGGTGGGAGGGTGGGGTGGCAGCCCAGACCTCCAAAGTCCAGCCTGCAGTGCCGCGTGGGGGTGGGGCTGGGGCTGCACAGGCGGGCTGCCCTGAATGACAAGCGGGGATATTGATCGCCTTCTGAACTCAGCCCAGCCGATAGAAGGTAATTAATGACTCCATTTGCCTCAGTACCGAGGAGAACAATTGAGTTTGAAACTGCAACAACTGGCAGCTGGGGAGACTGGGGGGCAACCCAGGGGTGAACCCCTCAGAGGGGGAAGGTGGTGTGGAGGAGCTAAGGGGAGAGGGAGGGGCAGAGTGACCTGTCTGAATGGTCACACATACACATGTGCACACACACACACCCTGCCCCAACCATGGCCGCACCAGCCCTGTTCCCCTGAGGCCCAGGCCCATCACCCGTGTTCTCACTTCCTCCACTTTTTTCTCTTTTCTTCCCATGCCACATTTTTATTATTATTATTATTATTATTATTATTATTATTATTATTAGTATTTATTTAGGTTTTTGCCATAAAGCACATGTGTTCTCCAGAGAAAGACAGAGAAAGGGAAAGTGAGAAATCACCCCCCCCCCCCGGGGAGGGATCGCCTTGCTGCTATCCCTTCTCCTCCATTCTCCTGGGATTTTGAGCAGGCACGCACACGCGCGTGGCATGAGTTTCCAGCCACCAGGGCTGGGATTGGAACCATAGTCGGCCATATGGGAGTCCAGCACTGTAACGACCACACCACCTGCTGGCCCGCCCGTACCACTTTCTAATGTCCTTCCGGCTACAGATGAAGACTTGCTTCAGCCAGCATGGCCTGTTGCCCACTGCGTGATCTCGTGCTCGTTCTGAGCCCTCCCCGAGCCTGTTGCCCTGTTTGGTGAGAGCAGACAGCATGTGCAAAGGGCCTCGAGTTCGCCCCAAACACAGTAAGTGCTCAGTAAGCGAGGGCTCCAGTGATGCGACAGTCTTTGACAAAGACGCCAGCTTGACCTAGTGGAGAGGGCTTTGGAGACACAGCCCTGAGTTCAGGTCCAGACCGCGCTGCTTACTGTTTGTGTGGTGTCGCGTGAACAATGTACCTCTCAAAGACTACGTCTCTGAAAAAAAATGAGAAGAACGATAAGTAAACCCAGACAGACTTATTTGTGTGAGTGACGGCTCTGATTCCGTTAGTTTCCCGGTAACCGGGTATACATATGTATATGGGTCTGGAGAAACTGAAGTCCGTTTACTTCAAGACAATTCTCAGATGCTTAATCCCGCTTCCTGGGATTTGGTGGGCAGCCTCTGTTCATCTCACCCTGGTTTTGTAGACTTTGATGCACCTTGGTGCTTTCTGACCAAGAAAATGGCATTTATTTTCTTCTTTTCTTACTACCACCCCGCCTACCTGTGGTCAGTGCAGAACCTGCTTCTACCTCCTGTCCTTTGCAGTGACCACCTTTGGAATCTAGGTAGAACCTAACATGCAAGGAAGACAAGCACTTCTGTCCCTTGTCTCTGGTCCTATCCCCAAGGTGGTGTTCAGTGACTAACTTCCTCCCCAGCAGCCCTTGTCATGACTGGCCAGTATGAGGGTTCTGGCCTGGAGTGAGAGGCGTGAGGTAGGGCTCTGTTCAGGGAATCCCAGGAATTGATGGGAAGGATTAGGGTCAAGTGAATGAGGAGCTCAGATCTTCCTGGGGAGAAGTAAAAGACATTTTAAATATGGGGTCGTTGGGAATGGTATGATGCCTTTTTGCACAGAAAAACAGAAAAATATGTCATGACTTCCTGATGACCTAATAGATTCCGAAAGTAGTATCTGCTTACTGCTCAAAGCCTGGACAATGTGGAAATACAGGAAAATAAGAATTGCTCGTGGCCAGGAAGTAACCACCGTCATCAGTCAGTGGCTCCAGTCAGTGGTCCTAGACGAGATGGTCTTTGGTTTCGTAGGTCTCTTTGCATGGAGATGGGCCCACTGTTGGGAGCCCAAGACTACAGACAGGCTTCCATGGGATCGGACCCAGCTGGTTACGAGCCACCTCCCCTGTGCCAAGCTCCCTAGTGGGTGGGCCCTTGAGCCAG